AATGAGAACTACAAATGCTTCCTGATCAGGACCCTGCTCTCTGAAACCATGCCCAGGGGAAAGGAGATGTCATCAGCCAGCTTTTTGACAAGATTGGAAACAGAACAAGAGTCATCATTGGATTTGAATATTTGATGTCGGAGCCCGGCCCTCCATCTCCACACAATGAGCCAAGTCCAAGGTCAACAGTTCTCGGGTGATCACAGCACAGAGCATGCAGCAGGGCCAGCGGCTCTTCCTGCACATTTACCTAACGTGCTTGAGTCTTCAGCACGTGTGGTCGGTCCCTGTACATCTCGTGTTTGCTGCAGAATCTTCTGTGCTGCCGAAACCCTCACTGCAGGGTGTTTTTATCCTTTGGATACGAGATATCCCCCGAAAACCTCATGTGTCGGTGTAGGAATGTTCAGAGAGGAAATTGATTAGATGACCAGAGCTGTAACCTCATCGGGGATCCATCCATTGGGTGGATCAACAACAAAATTCACAGACAGGGTGAATGCAACAACAGAAGTTGGAGCTGGGAGTCCAGGCTCAGTGTGCCACAGAGCAGGGCTCTGGTGAAGACCCTTCCTCACTTGTGGACCGCCACGTTCTCACTGATCGAGACAGGGCCTGTTCCCCGTGCACATGCACCTGGTGTCTCTCCCTCTTCATATAAGGACACCCGTCCTGTGGGATGGTGGCCATGCCCTTATGATCTCATTTAACTCTGGTTCCTTCTTAAAAGACCCTGCCTTCCAGGTGCAGTCACATTCAGAGTTCCTGAGGTTAGGACTTGAGCACAGGAGTTGGTGGGGCAGGGCACAGGTCAGTATTTAAGAATCTGTCCCAGCGGGTCTTGGGACGATGGAGCTAAGATGGGGACAGGGGATGCACGTTGCCCAAGGTCACAATAAAAACACGACTGGATTTGAAGCCATATCTGCTCTCGACACCCATGCTCTTAGCCACCATCCCACATTGCCAGAGGAGTCAGGGCAGAGGGCAGGAATGTGGGAATGCGGTGGCACCATTTTCTGAACCTGTGTCCCTCACACCCTGAGTATGTGATACAGGAAGGATGCTCTCCCTGTACCTGCTGACCGGCTAACAGCAGACGCAGGACATTAATGGCTGTTTACCTGTGGACAGGGGCCAGGAAGAGAAGGCGATAGATCCCAAGTGTCCCAGGGTTGATTTTAACCTCACAGAGTTCCTCAAAATGGTCCTGAGATTATCAGGAGAGTAGGACGTTTGTGTAAGTCAGGGTTTTCCACTCAAATCTTTCAGGGTTCAATAGCCCAACACTTGATTATTTGATTGTTTGACTGGAACTTCACAACCCTTTGGGCTCCTACGGCTTTGAGTTCTTTTAAAGGCCTTCTGTCCATATCCTGCCTTTGAATGCTAATCACCCACAGACTTGGAGTTCGTCTGTTTACCTGTGAAGGGTTCTGGGCTTGCACTGTGTTCTTTTCTTTTTCTTTTTTTTAGAGAGAGAGAGAGAGAGAGAGAGAGAGAGAGAGAGAGAATTTTTTTATTATTTATTTTTTAGTTATTGTCAGACACAACATCTTTGTTTGTATGTGGTGTTGAGGATCGAACCCGGGCTGCACGCATGCCAGGCGAGCGCGCTACTGCTTGAGCCACATCCCCAGCCCTTCCACTGTGTCCTTGTGAAATGAACAAAGGAACGAGTCAACAATTTTAGAAATCATATGCTATGATTTGAATGTGTCACTCAAAAATTCAGGTGTTGGAAACGTAACCCTCACATTCAGATGCTAATGGTATTTGGAGGGGGGACTTTTAGGAAGTAATTATTTGAGGTCACGAGGGTGAGGCTACTGTGATGGCATTAGTGGCTTTATAAGAAGAAGAGTGACCTGAGCTGGCATGCTTGCTCTGTCCCACCACGCAATTCCTCTGCCGTGTTATGATGGATCCAAAAGGCCCCCGCCAGACTTGGACTCCTAACCTCCAGAACTCTGAGCGAAATAACATCCGTTCTTTATGAGTTACCCAATGTACAACGTCATTATAGCAACAGAAAATGGAGTAAGACATCAACGAGTCTTCCCTGAAGCTTTTGAAGAACTTCGTCAAATACTTCAGAGACCACTTGGCAGTACAGGGCCAAGGATGACTCCCTGATTTCTCATCATCCACCTACAAGAGTTGACCAGAGGTGGACTGTGTGGAACAGAGAGACCCTGTTTACTGTGCATTATTTTACCTGATATTCAGAACCACTCTACAGGGGAGGAACTAGCCTCATCCCCCTTTAATGGATAGGGAACCTGCAGCAAGCCATCAAGATCCTTTGGGAGGGACGTCCTCTTCATGCCAGGATGAGACAACAGCCTTCATCATGGGATAATAATTGGGGCTGTAATAAGCCTGAACATAGGCTCATAGAGTTGCCCTTACCTTCCACTCGCTCCTCTACCTTCCATTTCTCTACCTTCTAGAAGCCAAGTGAAGTTTTCAAAGGCCTTACCACTAATTTTGGGAATCTCATTCAGAGTCCAACTGGGAACTCCTGTGCCACTGTGGAAGTCAGAGCCCCTGATGGGGGTGTCTCAGGCACCGTGGTCCCTGGGCTGAGGCCCTTTGGGACAAACACAGTGGTCGGGTGGAATCTTCCAGCATGGTCAATGAACCACATAGGGCTCTGTGCCCGGGTAGACCCAGGCTCCGAGCAGACATGTCACGCTGTGATTTGGGGTGAGGGAGAAGGAGAGATCTCTTCTACCATCCCTTTACTTTCATGGGGGCTGTTTGGCTGTATCTAGGAACTCAACACAAAGCTGGTTAACAAGAGAAAAGCAAATTTCTATTAATCCTACACATACACGGGGATCTTCACACAACAGTGAAGTCCAAAGCACGGAACAAAGCAGCGTGCTGTCGTACTCTGTAAACAATGACAAACCTGTGAAGGATTGACACAAAAATGGATCTCGGGACCAGGGTAGTAGATTCCAGGAGCATCTTGAAGAGATAAATGGAAGGTAGAGGAGCGAGTGGAAGGTAAGGGCTACTCTATGAGCCTATGTTCAGGCTTATTCCAGCCCCATTACTAGTTTCCCATGATGAAGGCTATTGTCTCATCCTGGCTTGAGGAGGACATCTCTCCCAAAGGACCTGGGTGGCTTGCTGCAGCAGGAAGACAGGCCACACAGCCTTCCTGCAGTTACAGTTCCCGGGTGACTTCGGCTTGAAGTAATCATTATACCACTTCAGCATGTTAACTCCTTCTGGGGTCAGTTATCTAATCTCATATGCCTCACTTTCCTTAGTTGTCAAAAAAGATACTAAGAGGCTGTGGTTGTGGCTCAGCGGCAGAGCGCTTGCCTAGCATGTGTGAAGCACTGGGTTCAATCCTCAGCACCATATAAAATAAAATAAAATAAAAGTATTATGTCCATCCACAACTAAAAATAAAATTAAAAAAAAATATAATAATACCCCCTTCATGGAACTGTGGTGAAGACATGTCTAAGATGGTTTACTTACCAGTACACACCCATCTCCTCTGGACTGGTGTCCCTACTGCCATTTAATCATTTTTAGATACTTTTGTAATGAATGAGGAAACATAAATGACTAAGAACAAGACTAACAGTGAGGAAAAAGGGGAAAAAATTAAATGTAGAGTTCTAAAATTCAAATGGACAATTTATCAACTTTATCTATTGGCTTTACATCACTGGGATTCTTTGGGATTAAATGAAAAACCAAAACCATGATTCATCAAAGCAGAGAGACAAGCCTGCCATCGGGATCTCAGGTTCCTCTAGCCTGGGAGAGCTAATCCCACGGAGCAGCTCCAGTCAGCCAACTGAACAGGTTCATGGGATCCGCGTGGATCGTTATGTGTCATGAGCTATGTCATTAACGCAGACCAAACATGTTTGTGTCTTTCCACAGTGTCATAACTTTATGGAATAACAATAAATTCACAGGCTCTGCCACTTGTAGCCGTGACAGTTCACCAAGTACCTGTGGATCACCTGGTCATCATAAGCCAGGCTATCACAGATTCTTTTATTCTGCTATTTCTAATATCTATAATACTCAAGTCACATATCACACTTCACATAATTTTATGTGTGGGGGTGGGTGCAATTTTCCAGGGCAAGGCTAATAACAATTAACCAGGGGACAGTATCAGGGTCTCTAGTGATGGGGTTGCTTCATTTGCAGGTGTGGTTACCTTTTGATAAACTCATGGGCCTGTTATTTTCAATATAAATTTGATACAACCATGCACCCTTGTGCTTCTGATTAATTCAAAAAGTTTTCAGGTTGTCCTTTTCATTAGCACAATTAATTTATCCATTTGTGTCTTGTGCTTGTGCCAGGTAGATGGTAGTTGTTGGCTTGTACAAATAAGGCATAGAGTCATTTCACCTCATCACTGAAACTAAGAATGGAATAGTTTATGGCAAACGATTGCTGTACAAAATGGAGTCACTCAGGTTTAGACCTGGCCTGAAAATTGCTGTTCTGTACACACAGTAACTCAGATCAGGGCACAGCCCGATGATCCAAGACCTTGGTTTCCTTCCAGTATGTGGATGGAGGTAAACTCTGCTGCTACCTGAGAACTCTGAAGAGAAATGAAAAGAAGTTTCACTTTTTTTTTTTTTTGTTACCAGGGATTGAACCCAAGGGTGCTTAACCACTGAGCCTCATCCCTAGCCCATTTTTTGCGTTTTATTTAAAGACAGGGTCTTGCTAAGTTGCTGAGGCTGGCTTTGAACCCACAGTCCTCCTGCCTCAGTCTCCTGAGCCTCTGGGATTACAGGCAAAAGTTCACTCTTAAATCTAAAGCGATACACCTATGTCAGCGCCAGATGTCAACGATTATTTCTTTGGAGTACAAATAAAATTGCTGGGCAGGGTATGCTCGAGTTTGAACTTGCCCCAAGTTAAACCCTGCCTGGAGAAAAATGTGGCTGTTCACATTTCTCGTTCTTAAAATGACTGACAGTCCATCTTCCGCCTCCTAGGTCTGGCAGCCGCCGCAGAAACTTGCTGGAATCAAAATCAGGATTTGAGAACATCTCACGAAAACTTGCTGAAGGTTCCCAGGCCATTTCTCCTGGAAGTCAAGTTAGAAGAAATGTGCAGCCAGAGGGCACAGCCCATTTCTGCAAGGAGGTAGCAACCAGGTTTCCCGTTATCCTGGCAGCCAGACGACTTCTGAGAAAAAGCCACAGCGGAGATGTGGCAGCTGTCAATCACGGTGGGTAACTGGAGTGGTCTTTTGGTTTGGGTTTTGCTGAGGTTTTAAAAAAGATAAGTCTGGCTCTTTGCGTGAAAACCTTAGTGGTGGGACAGAAAAAGGTAAGTAGAGTCAAATGCTCACAATTCATCATCGTTCCTCCTGGGAGCATCTTGATGATCATTAAGGTCTCTTGCGGCAGCAGCAGTCACCAGATTTTGAAAGCATGTGGACCTGGCACCCGCTGACCTGGCAGGGCCTCACTTCTGTCTTTCTCTTGGCAGTTTTGGAATCTGGCCCCACCTTGCAAAAGCAGCAGAGGCTAAGGTCCTGTGCGTTCCCTGTCTGAGCTTGTCATTGCAGTTTGTACCCGAGGCTGTGTCCTGGTGCAGATTATAGGCAGATATTCTCCGAGATCATCTCCACTTCCCAGGCCGTGAAAGCCGGAAACATCTGAAATAATTAGTTTATGTTAGGATGTGAGACTGGTAGGAGAGATGGGGAGTTCTGGAAGATTCTGAGGCTGCACTAGTGAGTCTGGGGGTAAGGTGGGTGCCTGTAAGGTAGGTCTGTCTGCCTGTCTATCTGTCTATCTATCTATTATTATTGCTGTAACAAATACTGGAGAAAAAAATCAAGTTAATGGAGGAAAAGCTTATTTGGGTTCCATCTCAGTCCCTGGTAGACTGGGCTCTGCTCTTTGGGTTGCGGTGGTCGTGAATGTGTGATGAAGCAAAGCTGCTTATGTCATGGGAGCCCACAGAGAGAAAGCCTGGATCCCGACACCTCTTCAAGGATGGAGCTGCTGTGACCTTACTTCCTCCCACGGGGCCCCACAGCCTAAAAGTGTCACCATCTCCCAGCAGCCCTGCAGGCTGGCAACCAAGCCTTCAACACGTAGCCTTGGGGGACATTTAAGATCCAAACCACAACACTGTCTGCCTGTCTGTCTGTCTGTCATCTAGGCCCCCCTAGTTCACACAGTTCAGTGAAAGAACCAGAATTCTGTATTTCTCACCACACCAACAACCCAATATGCAGATTTTTTTTCTCTTTATCCCAAACTTTTTGTAATGTCTCCAAATCAAATTATGCAAGACCAGCACCATTAAAGCCCACTTACCTTTCTTCTCCTTATGAAGTTAATTTTCTACTGAGAGCTATCAATGCTTAAGTTTCTCTAACTTAAGCCTAAGCTCATCCATCTCTCTGGATTCAGGGTTTGTATCGGTGACCTGACAACAGGGTCAGAGGCTCCCTAAGGGGAACCTGGGGGGGTCTGGACTCCAGATGCACCTGCAGTGCCCCTAAATGTCTCTTACTGGGCCACAACAGGAAGGTTCTGCTTTTGCCTAAATAAAGTGGCTAATTAGATTTTTAAAATAATAGATTTGATGTTGGGATGATGTTTTACATGTATAGGGCTAGTACAGAGTTCCCGTGTATCCATCACACGATTTTAGTTCCCCCTAATTTTTTCTCATATGGCACCTGTGGTACATTTGTCAAAACCAGGAAGTGAATGAATCCATTACTACTAACAGAATTCCAGACTTTATTTAGATTATTTTCTCACTAATATCCTTTTTGTTCCAGGATCCAACCCATGGCTCCATACTGCCTTTAGGTGTCCTTAGTCTCTTCTGGTCCATGACACCTTCTATTTTGACTCCTTGCCAATTTTGAGAATACTGGCCAGGTACTTTCTAGAACAGTCCTCAAACTGGGTTCAGCTGAAGAATTTTCTCATGATTACACTGCAGTTATGAGTTTTGGAGAAACGAGGCCACAGAGGCGAGACGCCTTCCCGTCACACTGAATCTGGGTGTGGGGATGTCCACAGGAGGTCCCTGAGATCCGAGCACAGTCCCGGGGTCAAGTTCATGTTTGCTAAGTTTCTCCACCAATGCGGTTACATTTTTTCTCTTTCTTTGCTCCATTATTTGAAAGTGAGTTACCAAGTCAACCTGCCCTCAGGAAAAAGGGGATTAGACTCTTCGCCCAGCATAGAAGTGTTAGGAGTTGTCCTGCTCTCTACTTTACCCTGTTGGTCACTTGCCCTTCCTCTGCGTGACTTGTCAATCTTTTTCCCTCTGACTTAGGAATTAAATGGTGTGCTAGGCAATGGGGATGCAGGACAGAGAGAAACAGGAAACAAACTAGGGGACCAGACAGGGGAGGCTGGCAAAATGAGATTCAAACCCGGCCTGGGCATAAAAGCACAGTGGGACTAGTGTGGCTTTAAGCTGTTTTATTTAAAAAGTTGGAATAGTAAAAGCTTCCTCTTAAGTAACCATGAGAAGTAAGTTGCATATGAATGCAGAAGTGCTACATGCAATGTTTGGTATACAGTAGGTACTCAATAAATGTTAACTGTCTTTGTTCAAGAAGAAAATGATGACACATAGCTACCAAGAGCATGGATCCTGGCACCAAACTGCCTGCTTTTAAGATCTGCTTCTCATGCTCCAAAGCTGTGTGACCTAGGCAAGTTACTTCACCTCTCAGTACCTCAGCCTTTTCTTAGGTAAATGGGGCTAATAACAGCATCCCTCTCATGAGGTTGCTATGAATATAATTTGTGGTATGTAAAGGGCACAGACAGTGCCTGGAACACAGTATGTTACAAGTGTTTGCAAATATTCTTTATCCTTCAACACAATCGTGTTTTAGGCAATGAAGTACACATTGATTTAATATTTAACCGTCTTACATAATTCAATAGATTAAAATTCAATCTTTCCATGCACTAGAATTCAATAGACTAGGAACCCGTTGAGTAGTTTAGTATTTAACCATTTTATAGAGTTCAAAACATGTAGAGATTAACACCGATTTGATATTTTTTCTTTCTTTCAGATCCTACTCCCTGGCATTATCAAGATACGAGACGTAATAAACTGCACTTAAGTATACAATATATGAGTTTTAGAATATTATTATGTTTCAGGGCTGGGGTTGTGGCTCAGTGGTAGAGTGCTCGCCCAGTATGCATGAGGCATTGGGTTCAATCCTCAGCACCACATAAATGTAAAGATATCGTGTCCACCTAAAACTAACTAACTAACTAACTAAATAAATAAATAAATAAATATTTTTAAAAAGAATATCATTATGTTTCTATTAATAGTGAAACTACAACCACAGTAAAACACTGTGCATGTGCAAAGAGTGTATATTCTGACATGATTGGGAAACATGTTCTTTCAAGGTCAAATATGTCAAGTCTTCTCTGGCCTTCCATCGGTCCAGTTTTGACTTTGCTGTGTTAGTGACAGGTCTCCTTCCGAGGACCCGGCCTGCTGTGCTTTTCTGCTGACTGGTAGAACACAGCGATTGCATGTCTTATCTGAGCTTTGGGATTCTTCTCTCTGATCCCTCACGTCTTCTTTCCCAGGCATGGGGTCGTTCTCCTACCCCTATTTCCTGATCAGAACTCAGCTAAGGACAAGAAGGAGTGTCCTTAGCTGTGTTCAGCGCTCCTACTCTCTGGTGTCTGTACTGGGAACCACAGGGGTCTTGACCTCCTCCCATTTCCAGATCTGCCTGCTCCACTTGGCAGCCAGCCACCTCTACCTGGGCATCCTCGCCACCCTGAGACGAGGACTCGCCACCCAGTAAGTACAGGGCAGGTGGAGAGTTCATGTCATTCACTTCTCTTTGGGGATGTCTTGGGCCCTGTGATGTCCTGGGTTTGAAACCTTGGAAATAGTAACTTTGAAGTGTAAGCATGTCCTAGCTACTGAATTGCTATCTAATTGAGCTGTTGTTTTTGTTTAATAAATTGTTTGGATTCTCAGTGATAATTAACACTACGATGTTCCTTAATTCTGAATCTAAACATTCCAGTGATGTGAAAGGAGAAGGATACTACTGTAGTTTCAGCATAATTTGTCCCCTTTGTTGGGGGGTGAGGGGTACCAGGGATTGAGCCCAGGGGTGCTCAACCACTGAGCCACATCCCCAACCCTTTTTATATTTTACTTTGAGACAGGATCTCACTGAGTTGCTTAGGGACTTGCTAAGTTGCTGAGGCTAGTTTTGAACTGGTGATCCTCCGGCCTCAGCCTCCTGAGCTGTGAGGATCACGATTGTGCACCACTGTGCCCCGCAATCTGTCCCTTTCAAAACAAACATTGAAATTTAATTCTCCATTGTGAGATGATATTAAGAGATGGAACCAAGTGGGACCTTTCAGAGATAATTAGGGCTCTGCCCTTAGAATGGATTAATTATTAATCCATTCATACAGGTAATGATTTAATGGGTTAGTGGGTTATCTTGAGTGTGGAATGGCTATAAACTTCAGTTTGGCTGGGTCTCTTGCCCACACCCTGTCTCTCACCACAACATACTCTGTGCTGCCTTGGAACTCTGACAACAAAAAGGATATCTCTATGTGGAGCTCCTTGACCTTGAACCAGGACCATGAACCAAAACAAACATGCTTTCTTTTTCTTTTTCTCTTTTTTTGCTGGAGAGGGGCTGAACTCAGGGGCACTAGACCACTGAGCCACATCCCCAGCCCTATTTTTGCATTTGATTTAGAGACAGGGTCTCACTGAGTTGCTTAGCACCTCACTTTTGCTGAGGCTGGCTTTGAACTCAACATACTCCTGTCTCTGCCTCCCAAGCCTCTGGGATTACAAGCATGTGCCACCACACCTGGCCAAACCCACTTTCTTTATAACTGACCCAGTCAGTGGTATTGTGCTATTAGCTACAGAAAACAGACTAGGATAGGATACCAAGAATTGTCACCTCTGTAGAACTCCATGCTGTGGGGGACAATTTCTCTCCAAAGAATGTGGGAGCTGTTATCAGAGCAGATCCGGAGCTGCAGATGTTTCCTCCAGGAGATTCTATAAATGACTTAGAATCTCCTTCAAGGACAGTGGCCTTTCTACTTACCCGAATTATTTGAGTTCAGCCACTTCTGATTACTTTCTTCACCTTCCAGATCTGGACCAACTACTAACTCTAAATCAATCTCTCCTCTAGAAAGTAAAATTCTTTAACATTTGGGCCCCATATCGCTTCTTCTGCATTGTAGTTGAATTTGATAGAGCAGAGATCTTTCTCTTCTAACCAAAGACCATCCTTTGCTCTCTTACCTAGACCACTTTTTACAGAGAACGGGTTCTTTCCACACTTCTCACGCCACATGACCTAAAACTGTACCTTCTGCCCTCCCACAGCCTTCTAGCATCCTAGTCACAGCTGTTGGGGCTTGAGAAGAGGGTCTGACCCACATCAGGCTGATGTGGAACATTCTTGTGAGTTCCTCTTTAAGTCAGTGTTCTCTTTGTGCTTTAGCTGGTTGGCTGGGGACGCTGAGCTGGAGCTGTGTAGGTTTGCTGGGGGTGCCGATGGTCTGGGGCAGTCAGGAGACCAGGTGTGAGTGAGCGGAGAGGACGGTCAGTCTGTCCTGCTGAGAGGGAGCCCAGGGAGACAGGGAGAGAGAATGGCGGTCCATGAACCCAGCTATACTTCTTGAGCTATTTCCCTGGATGGTGTGACCCATCCCACTTGGGAATGAATATGTGACTCCTAACACCCTCCCAATGGAGCTGGGAGCTGGCTCGAACCCCAGGAATCCTTTATCCTTGGCCTTGCTCTTGCTCATAAAGTACCCTGCATAGGTGAATCCTCTTGCTGCTTTACTCACTACTGCATCGGGCTCTCCTCCCATCCTCTCTTCTGAGGCCCAAATGCACCATTACCAGACTCTTTTTATTACTCTTAGGGCATCTATCTATCTATCTATTTATACCAGTGATTGAACCCAGGGGTGCTTAACCCCATCCCCCCCCCCGTCCTTTTTATATTTTATTTTGAGACAGAGTCTCACTACGTTGCCCAGAGTCTTGCTAAGTTGCTGAGGCTGGCTTTGAACTCACAATCCTCCTGCCTCAGCCTCCCAAGCCACTGGGATTACAGGCGTGCACCACCACAGCCAGCCTGTATCTCCATTTTCTAATTACTGTAGAAGCTTGTCCCTGAGACCCAAATTTGACAGGGCTCATTGTTGCCTGGTTTGTTTCCGTGTCTCCCCACCTAGACCCCATTGACTGCTTTGCACTTGTATTCACACAGCTGTGTTTTAAGAGCATCTTCTCTCTGTCAAAAACCTTCTTGATATTTCAAAGACAACTTCTCATCATAACAAATTCAAAGGATACAAAGCGTATACATTAAAGTTTAACCTTTTAACAAAATTAATGGGTGGCTCCTTGGTCTAGCTGGAATGCCTGACTTTTTAAAAAGTGTATTTTTTGGTTCCTGTGAATGGAAAGGAGGGTCGTGTGTGTGTGTGCATAGAACACAAGTGTAGCTGGGTGCATAGAGCGCATGTGCAAGCCTGGACACACCTACGTGCACTTGTGTGTTTTTGCCCCTGACTGGCCTCTACTGTGATCGTGCTCTGGCATGAGAGGAGAGGCTGGCCTCTAACATTTTTTTTTTAAATGCTGACTCCTCAGGAGGCTGAGAGGCAGGACTGTGGCTCAGTGGTTATGAAACCGTGGTTCAAAAAAAGTGGTGGCAGTCTCTGCAGGAGGTGGGAATTAAGGACAGGGCAGAGGGAGGGACTGGATGGATATAGTTGTCTCTGCCCCATGACCAGGCTTCCGGAATTCTAGAAGGATATGCTGTACCCAAGAAAGGCAGGGTTTTAATATCTTCCTGACTAATCTTTTAATTTCGTTAAACCGAATCAAATTTTCCTGGACAAAGAAAATAACTTAATAAACATATCAAATACTCTTTTTGTTTTCATTAATGTTGTTTCTCAAGAGATTTCTGATCTCCTACCATCATTTAGAAACATGGCTCTTTCTCAGGATGCCTGAATTTAGCATCCTGTGATATCCTTGGAGCATTTTTGACATTTCTGGGTTTTGGTGTTTTGGCCTTAAAAATGAGACTGAGCCAAACATCTTCCCCATTTATAAAGGTAAGCATGCTCAGGGATAGAATGAAAATAACAAAAAGAATTCCTAGTGCCACAACTCAGAGATACCACTGTTAGCCTTCTGATGTGTACCTCTGTGTGTGTGTGTGTGTGTGTGTGTGTGTGTGTAGACACATCTCTCTCTGCCCTGTATCTCAAGCACTTAACACATTTCTAGCTCAGTACCTGGTATGGGGAAAATATTAATAAGTAAAACTAAATATTCTTACATGAATAAATATTCAAATATTGGGTCACTATAGGTCTATTTGGGGGAGGAGGTTGAACACCGGGGAGCATTTTACTACTGAGCTAAATCCCTAGTCCTTTTTATTTTATTATTATTATTTTTTTTCTGAGACAGAGTTTCACTAAACTGCTGAGGGACTTGCTAAGTTACAGAGTCTGGCCTCAAACTTGTGATCCTCCTGACTCAGCCTCCCAAGTCGCTGGGATTACAGATGTGTGCCACTGCACCTGGATACTATAGGTCTATTCTTAACTAAGCATTAGTCTAGGTTAGTCTTCTTTGAAGACTTTCAAAATTATTATAGGAGATCAGAGTCCAATTTACTCCATCTGAGTTGCCCAGTGTCCATCCAGTAATGAACTAATGCTGAAAGTTCAGTTGGCCTGAACTTTTCATCAAGAATTTCAGAAGGCTTTCTTTCTTTCCCAAACTAGCTGAGGATAAATGGGCCATCTAGGGGTCATAGGATAAGAGCAAGAAGGAAAACCTAAAACAAAGAAAGAGCCCTTACTGGTGGTAGGGGTTGCTTCAGATGATAACTGTTTCACAGGTCTTTTCTACCTTGACATCTGCTTCAAAGGTAGTTTGACAAACTTGTGTTGAGCAACATGGCAGACTTTCAGAACACATACTGCATTCCTGAGCGATTTCTATGCTTCAAACGTTGTTAAAATATTCTTGGTAAAAGGAACACTGCTGCTTACTTTATTGATTACAAAACATTTTATTTATTACAAAATAAAAACTGAAACTAAAAATACCTCACCCCTTCCAAAAAGGGTGAGATGACTCAGACTGTTACCAAACTGTGGACCATTGTCAGGTGTAGTGGCA